ACAAAGGCGAAACTCCATGTCCACTAGGGATGAGAATAGCTTTTTGAGAAGCAAGGCTATGCAAAATTCATCTGATTCTTAAGGCCTTCACATAACATTGTGGCAAAAATTAATCTAACAGTCCTTTATCTCCTTAGAAGAAATAGGGCGAATTTATCTCATATAAACCAGAGAATTGACTTCAATCCTAACTGCTACTATATGCAACTCAGTGCTGAGATTGGCTCCCCCAACTGACGATGCCTATCACGATCCAGAGCAAGTGTTGGTGATACTGGAAGTTATGCTTAATAGAGTAGAGGACGCATGAGTTGTTATGGTCTATATCATCCCTTTGTCTCTATGACCTGGTAGCGAAATCGAAATCAATTTTTCTATACATTCACCTTATAAGGGTGGAATACAATACAACTAAAGGTAAATTATGCATAGCATGACCAACTACTTTTAATTTCTAAATGAAGCATTACAATTTTATTGTAAAATAATGTCTGGATATGATACTATAACTGTTAACGCCTTCTAATTAGCGCATCAGTGACAAATATTTGCAAGTTTGTTTTTTTCTTTTATTCATTTTTATACTTTTGAGTATATTTTTTCTTTTTGTCTTTAGTTATTATCCTTTGTGCAGACGCGGACTCTGTACGACAGATCATGCTCTTGGCGCATGGACTCGGCTTCACCACCGGCGAATATGCTTTCTTCAACATCGATCTTTTCAGCGAGTATGTTACCTTTCTGAACTTACACCAAACTCCTTTAATAATGTGTGATTCTTAAAACCGATAGCCTTAGTTTGATTTTTTTAGTGTAGCTAAACTTGGAAATAAGGCTATTGATGAATCGATAAGAATATATAATCCCCAAAAACTGAAATTTGATGCTGGCCTGATAAGAAGATAATGAGAGAAAATAAGGGATGCGGCAGCTTGCAGAGTTTTCGTAATGTGAAATTTTTGGTAATTTCTTTATGTAACTCTTAGATACTTCCACAATACGAGTTCAATCTGACTTGTTTGCATTTGTTTCGATTCTTAAATTACGATGTGACTTAATCCTAATCGCAGGCTTTTGATACATCATCAAGGTAAATGAGCAAATGATTAATTATAAAATTATCTGGATGGGAAAATCATCATGATCTTGCACTTGTCACAGGGCCCCTTAAATTGTTAATATTTATTAGTGCATTGGTACTGACCCATTTTAGTATCGCTTTGAAATGTAGGCTACAATTGCTCCAATAGAGGCAGGAAATGTTTAAGGCCACATTTTTGGCATGACTCTCCATTTCTAAAGGTAAGTTGGTTGGAAGGAATTCGTGATGTAGTCTCACTGGAAACCAAAGAAAGACTGTTGAATTATGCAAAGAAGTCCTCGGCTCACCGTCCTGCGACCCCGATTAAACTGTGCTAGGCTTTCGTCTGTACTGGGACAGACATCATCAGAGCAAGATTCGATACTTTACGAAATAGAGTAAAAATATACTAAACCGAGAGAAGAAGATGGCCGGCTTCAACCCTAGTCGCTTTTTTATACACCAAACTAGACAGACTAGCATGCAGAATAAGGTTGAAGTAGCCAACCAATTCAAAGAAGGCCTCATTAAGATCGCGATGTTAGATGTATAAAAAAAGCCACTAAGGTTGCAGCCGGCTACCTTCTTCTCTTTGTTTAGTATATTTTTGCTCTATTTCGTAAAGTATGGAATCTTGC